CCCCCCCCCCCCCCCCCCCCCCCCCCCTCTTCATAGCTACTCTCTCCAGTTGGTGATTACAACGGCACCCCCATCTCACGGCCTCTCCTCCCATTCATCATCACACCGGCCGTCTCTCTGTGTCTCACACACGCGTCTGATTGGGGTCAACCCCCCCCCCGCTTTCTCATTACTGACTTCTGTTTTAACCTGCACACTTCAGCGTGTGTGAGATCAGTGTTTGGTGGTTAACGCTGGGCCCTTCAAAAGTGTTTTTGTAAACTTGTATCAAAGCCATTATTGATAATAGTTCATATTTGTGAATTGTTAGTAGTTGATGACAATGATGTTTTATTATTATTATTATTATTATTATAAACCTATTGAAATATTAAACAATGAACATCTTAATTATAGGTTTATATTAGGGATGCACCGATATGAAGGGGGGGGGGGGGGGGACATCCAGAAATTACAAATTGCCTTGTGATCTTTTTTTGTGTTTTATTATTATTATTATTTATTATTATTAACAATTTTTACATTTTACATTCAATTTTCAGTGTGTGGCTATTTTTCTGCCAACATTTTCAGAGACTGTTTTACATTTGCTATACATTATATTTCCATAATAATCTTCTTATAGAAGAAGCATTGCAGCACTGTATGTTTTTTTCATGTTTCTGCAAGAATGGTGGTTAAGGGCATAGACTTCATTGATTTGTAGGCTGTTGTTAAATGAGCTTTTAATGTTGTTATATTTATAATGGTGTGTGCATACAAGAATGTTTGCATTGATTTGTGGATAATATGATGTGATATAATGGAACCTCTAGACGATTGTTCTAGTTTAATAATCTGTGATCGTATGGATTTATAGTGTAGTTAGCCCAGGGGCGTTTCCTCCGAGGAGGCAAGGGAGGCAGTGTCTCCTCAAAAAATTGGATGACAAAATGATCGATATTACAAACATAAATCGCAATTATTACTAAATATGGAATTAAAAGTATAAAAGTCACTCGTTTTTATGAAGTAACACTGTCCAACAGCAACACCTGCAGGTAAAGTTACAGCAGAGGCTTGCCTCCCTTCAGTCCATAGACTTACAACAGAGACCCATTAGCGTGCCGTGACTTTTCTAGGTTGTAACTGAGAATGAATGGAGGAAAGTCACGTGAGAGGAGGCAATGATCGGTTATGACCAAATGTGATTGGTTCATGCGATAAATCCCGCCTCTGGATTTCGTGCAAGCTCTCGGCCTGAATGAAGAAAATTATGCCGTTATTGACTAATTATAAAGTAAGTAAACAACTCTTCCTCTTAGATACCACTTCTTTGTGTCACGTCAAAATAAAACTCGAAATGGTCTGAAAACGTGATGACTGTGTCAGTTTTTAGTGAGCATTCAGTGTGATGAGATGAAAAAACAGCTGAACATCAGTTCACAAATAAAAAATATTTTTTAACATTTTACAATAAGGTGTCATTTAATGTGTTATCTAACATGAACAAACAATGAACATTTATTACAGTATTTATTAATCTTTGTTTACATTAGTTAATAGTAAAAATACTGTTGTTCATTGTTAGTTCATGCTAGTTCACAGTGCATAAACTGTTAACAAACACAACGTTTGATTTTAATAGTGCATTAGTAAATGTTGAAATTAATATGAACTAAGATTAAGAAATGCTGTAGAAGTAGGCTATTGTTTATTCTTAGTTCATGTTAACTAAAGTAGTTAACTAATGAAACGTTATTGTAAATTGTTTCCAAAATATTGTTCAAATTGTTGCTGCCTTTAGTTATTATTTTGAAATAAATAAATGTAAAAATGCCTAAAAACACTATGAAATGTATAATTAGTGTTAAAAAATATTAAATAAAATAAAAAATAATATTAATAAAGTACAAACTATAATTATATTAGTTCTCTTTTTTTATGTAATATTTAGTTAACCAGGAAAATGTGACAACATTAAGTGTAACAGGGACATATATATAGGCCTATCTATCTATCTATCCATCTATATATATATATATATATATATATGTATGTATGTATGTATGTATGTATATAACTGCCGCCTCATTTTAATACACCACTGCACGCCACTGAGTTAGCCGTACTCTGCTATTTAACTTCCTGTCCTGAGAGAAAGTTCTCTGTGGTATATTAGTAAAAAAGGGCGCCATTATAAAATCCACACGCCATGCATTTTGTCTTCATTCATTAGAATTCAATTATAGATTCAGCAGTATTTTATACTATAATACATGCCATTGGTTCTTGTAATATTTCTGTTTTTATTTATTTATTTATTTTTAGGTCAGTCTGCACTTTTTATTAGCCACTCTTCCACATGTATTCATGAATGTTGTGTCCAGATGCACAGGACATTGTTCAATTTATATTTTTTCCCCCTGCTAACAGCGATTTTTACAGGAAGCGGTGTGTAAGTCACTGGCCCGGTGTAAAAATGACAGCAATTAACCCGACATTTTAGCTTGAGGAGAATTTAAGATGAGACGCCTGACAGCCAGTGTCAGCCATATTTTCCCCGTCGTCTTCAGGTGTAAGAGCAAATGAAATTGGAGGTAGTATCGCAGTTCAGGGAGCTACTTGGGAAGGAGGTGTCCATGGAAAACGAAATTTTGCACTTATTTACTTCATTTTCCACAACGATTTTCCTGGAAAATATCCATAAACAGAAGCATAACCGAGAAAAAACACAGTGCTAATTGATATTCAATGAGTCTGACTCCATCATCACCCCACAAACACATTAACACACATGCATGCGTTCAGAAGAGGTGGGAGGGAGCGTCTCTAGGGGTCCATTGACTGTCATTCAGGAGGGGAAAGTAACAAAGTAACGCGGAGACGACACACAAACAGACAGTCTCGCTTCCGTCTCCCCCGCTGTCCACCGGGAGCTGCGAGTGCAACATCTTCAGGCAGGGTGATGACGGCTTTCGCCACTCATCAGCCAAATAAAAGCCCCTCTGATGCAAAGAGTGCTTTGCCCTTGAGCATAATTTAAAGCAGTAATCACCCCTGGAGTCTCTACCGTGCAGATAGCGAAAGCGAGGTGACTGTCTCATTTACACTCCAGCACAAAGAAGCTCATTAGCTTTATCACACCGGCCCGAGACTCCTCCACTACAGTGTGTAAATAACACACACATACGGTTTCACCAGAGCCACATTTCAGAAAGCTCTCACAAAGATTGGCGCTAGAAACAAAATAAAACACGTTTCGATGGCTTGACGTTGTATTTTACAGTTACCATTTCACTATCAGCAGACATCGTTTTGACATATAGAGGCGTGCTGCTTCTCGCGATGACACTGCAAGATATAAGCCTCTCCGTGACGGATGTGCATGCTTCGTTCCCCCCTAGACAACAGCAGGTATTATTCTATTATCGCCACTGAGCTCAGATCCTGGAGTGGTCATTTGTGTTTAGGCCACATAACATGTGGCTGTATGGAATTTACAGTGCGCCTGCAGTAGTAACTCCATTTCCCATCGGCCTCTCCAGAGACCGAGTGAAATGTCAAGCCGTGGCTTTGAAAGAGAGATTGAGCGAGGGACAGGATGAGGAGGGGGGATCGAGAGAGAAAGGAATGGAGTGAAATCTGCTGGAAACAAACACTCATGAACATTGCTCATGCTTGGGCGGCACTAGTAGTGTCATTGGGGGGGGGTCAAAGACGTGCGGGTGAAATGCACACCTTCAGCCTTAGAGTTATAAATGAAATGAGCCACGTTTGCACATTTAGGCAATAAGGGAGTTTTTTTTTTTTTTTTGTGGAACAGAAATATTTATATATTGCAAATGTGAACCTTTACCTTACCAGTGCTTATGTAGTCCATCTTGTTTTATTTTATTTTATGTTTTATAAAGTATTAATACATTATTTTACAGTTTTATGCATTTATACTTTTTATTTTACTTTAGAAATATTTACACTTTTTATGCATGTTATTGTATACTCTTATAAATACCCCTTTTTTAATGTATACTTTTTGTATTTTTAGTTTTATTTAATTTGATACCACTTTATTGATTGAATGGTGGAGAAGCCTGAGGGCAAGTGGGATATTGGCAAATGTTATGACATTTCCCTGATTCAGACTCTCCTTGTCCACGGCTCAATGTGTTAGCATATGGGCTAACCATTAGGCCACGACTCTGACCAGCCGCTTGTGTTTAGCAATTACATTTAACCTCTGTGTGTAAATAAAACTCCAGCAGTCGGCCAGTCAAGATCAATGACCACTTCACAGCTCATTTCCTGCTGTTTTGATGTTTTCTAACAGCCCTGCCTGCAGAAATTAACGGCACTGAAATCTATAACAGCCCTCAGGGCAGAAGCCTCCACTAGAGACAAAAGTGGTGTACATTTGCTCTGGATTACGGAATCAAACCACTGTTTCAAGACTGTGGAGCAGGTGCTTATGGGTAGAGTAGTTCTTTTCCCAAACCTTGATCAATCAACCGAACACTGTATTTCTCGAAGCAGGTGATTCAGAGCAAGGCCCCCGAGAGCGAGGAGTCTTGTAGAGTCGCCTTGAATTCAAACGCAATAAAAACATGGTGAGAAAACTGGAGCATCCTGAACCTCATCCTCCCAGTATCTCTGACAGCCTATGACACCACAAACCATTTAACAGAGCTTAAAAAGCTCACATATGCAGATGCCCGGCGTCTTAAGCTGACAACCAAGAGGCAGGATTTTCTAG